TATTTTTATTTATATTTTTTGTTAACTGTTAAATCACTAAATGTCTAAAGGTCTAACCATGATAGGAAGTTCAGAAACGCTTTGTGAGGGAACGATCATACTTACGCATATGCCAAAAACGATATATGTACTCCATAGGCGAAAGTTCTTAGTAGACTGTGTACCAGCATTGCCACATATTGAACTTCTAACACTGGCACAGCACATAAAGCCCACAGACTCAGGCCCGAAAAACTTGTGATGAAAAAGGGGCCGAGAAAGAACTTTGGCTGAGCTGAAAACAAATAGAAGTTTTGAAAATAGGCCTTTCTATTATTAAAAGGTTACTGGCTACAATTAGTGGATTTTTAAATTGAATGTAAAAATAATGACACAGAAACGTGATGGTATTGTTAAGACAACCAAACCGTTATCGATGCTGTGCATCCTAAATATTTGTCATGAGTGTCAACTCTATCTTAAATAACAGTGAAACATAGGTTATCTAATGCAGAAGTTGAGAGGGGAGACTATAAATTTGTTCTAAATGGATATATGCCCCCCCCCCCCCTTCTCTCTCTCTCTGGTTCCATCTACTGTTTTGCTATGCAAAGGTCTGCCATCGCGCATTGCACATCACTGGTCACCCACCTTTAGCCCCCTTCTGAGCTCTGTTTTTCTGTCTGTCCACCACGTATCCTCCCGCTACGGCCATCGGTATGCTAGTGGTCAGTTGGAGGATACCAAGGACGTTAGTGTAGTGGCTCACTGGAATCCAGAAAAATACTTGTATCGGAATCGAGACAAATAATGGTATCAGTGTTCACGATAAAATCCACCCGAGGATTGTGTCAACGCTTTACTGTTTTCACCTCCTTATTTGAAGAAATGGCTCCTCTACAAATGTGCTCTTTGCTGAATATGATGGACACGATAGGTTTTGAATTGGGTTTAACTGCGAATGCTATAAACTGTAACATTGTAACTACGAAAATGATAATTCTGGAAATCATGATATATGTGGCGACAATTTTTTTATTCAATATTAACCACAGAATTTAATGACAAAAAGCAAAGAGACCCCCTCCCCAGTCACTAACAAACATTTCCGAACACACACACACAGAAGTAGCTGAGCAAAATTACCCAACGCCTGCAGTATAAAAACAGACTTTAAAAGCGCAAACTCTTTTCTTCAAATCCCGGAGGCAATTTCTGTAAGACCAATTTAATCACTTCTCTAGTTATTAGAATATTAAAATGCTAGAGGGTATTTAATTATCGCTTAAGCTGAAAGCAATTTAGCGATAAATCCCTCGGAGATGGATCGATCCTGTTAGATCTAGGTATGGGAACCCAGTCTTACCTATACTTTGGTCACCGTGTGATAAGTAATCTATGATGGAGTTGAAGCTGCCGAAATACATCACTACCAACAAAACATTCCCTGAAAACCAAATTTGTGTTGTCCAAAACAACGGGCTCTTGAAGATCGAGTAAAGCTTGGGGACATCGCACTGCAGCTTCTCATCGGTTGATGAGGTTTCTGTCACTGGTTTTTCTCCCAAGACGATTTCTCCTGCATTAACGATGTCTCCATTTTCTTGTTTTTCAATGACGGTACCAGCGTTCTCCGCTGGTTTTTTGACGTTTTGTATCATGTCTGCAGATGAAGAAGGTAGAGATGGTACTTTTGCCATTGGTTTTTCTGTGTCCTCATTTTCAGTCGTTTTCCAATTGTTTTGGTTGGCATCATTTATAATAAAAACATCTGCGCTCTTTCTGTTATTGAAGTCTGCTTTGGCGTTTTTAGAATCTTTTTCCTGGTTTCCCAGACAATTACATGTATATAAAGACATGGACAAACACTTTTCAGAAACAGTTTTTGTTTCTTTGTCGTTTGCCGCGTGGTCCCTAGGGGGCAGCAAAATCGTAGTAATGGTAGAAATAACGAGACCAATGGAAGCAAACACCAACATTGAGCTCTGGTAAGGTATCCCAGCGTCATAAGCCAGCTTAGAAAGATAAATAAAAAATTATTATTATTATTATCATTATTATTAGTATTAATTCTGTGTGGAGTTACCAAATGCACGAATGTGGAACAGAGCACGGAGCCACCCATACGAGATGGAGGAGATAATTGCGTGCACTTCGCCTTGACAGTTATCTCATATATCTCGGGTAAAACTCCACGACTTGTACTTTTTCTAATACAAAAAAAAAAAAAAAAAACAAAGCAATTAAAATGAAATTTAGCACACACCCAAATGTACCCAACAATATAAATGCATCGTTTGAAGAGTCGTCTTAATAATTGAATAAACATTTGAATAATCCTTTTAAAAATAATCGAACCGCAGAAGAAATATGATAGTTTTACCTTAACAAAAAGAAAAGACGACGTGCTCATGTCTGTTGCTCCAGAAACCATGATTCCAAGAGTCGTTTTGATCTTAGGAAAAAGCTGCGGCATCTGCATACCAGTCGCAAGGTACATAACGCCACCTAGGTACTGGCCGATAGATCCTGGGAATAGTAGCCATTCCAGACCTGAAATATCATAGAAAAGTGTTTGGAATCAAGTTTTCAGTGCAGATACATTCTACGGTCTTATACAATAGGTTAAGACCAAGCTTTTGACTTAAAAGTCATTTTGTAAATTTGGTCTCTGCCAATTTGAAAATTGGATCGATTTTTTTTTTTTTTTTTTTTTTTTGTGTGTTTTTAGCAAAATTATATATACTTGTATATTATCCTCCTTATCATGACAAGTGGAAGGTAACTTTCTCTTAAAAGTTATACTGTGATGTAAATAGCAGAAGTGAGATTTAACCTGGTTGTGAAAATATATGATTTTTGTTAGTACACATTAAGGCTTATGACAAATTAAGCGTTGTGGTTGACATTTACAGTTTTCTTAAAACTGACACATTGACAATTTTTTTTTTAACTTACACAAAGGGCGAAATTGTCAGATCCAAGTATTTGTTCTCATATAAACCAAAAGACGGGAAATTTTTTAATGTAATATGTAAATTTACTTAATTTTGTTTCTTTTCGTGTGTTATACTATTCATTTATTCAATTTAAAAAAAGATGTTGAGGAAAGTTGATACGTCCCAAACAGGGGGGGGGGGGGCAGGGGGCACGTGATCCACTGAGTCCGTTGGATCCGCCATTGAAATACTAAGATGAGATATAATCATGAGCCCTGTTGAAGCTTCTCAAATTCAAATAACAAAAAATTAATATTTGTTGACGAGAAGGTCATGGCAACAGAGATGCATGAGGCCATAGGGCAAATCTACAGTAGGTGTGTTGATTAATTCTTCTGCATTTATTTTACATGTAAAAAATATCAAATGTGTAAATTCTTCTCTCCAATTATTTGTACTATTTGTGATACATTGGAAACTCAATAAAAACACCACGAGACACTTCAAAATTACATATTCCGTGCACCGCGTGCACCTAAAAGTCCGCTGGTTTTATTCGTAAACACCCCAGCAGTTCGTGCGGAATGGTTTACGTCATCGTGTTCACCCGCGGAGAGCGAAGAAACGAAACGCCTTTGTTGTCTCCTCTTCAAAGGTATTTGTGTGCAGACATTGCAATCGATGCTGTTATGTAAAACATTTGAACTCAGTAACCTGACTAAAAATAAATGTGCAGAAATCAACAGTTTTGGAACAGCCGTATATGCTGTCCAGCAAAATATAAGACAAAGGAGCTCCTCTTTGGACTCTTGTAAAAGTCTGATGTCCAGAAAGAATAATTACCTGGTCTAGCAAATGCCATCAGCAGTGTTCCGGTGAAGCATAAAGACCTGAAATGAGATTATAATTTTGAAGGTCAATGATAACATCTTGAGGGTCAGTAAATAAAATGTTTTCTCGTCAACTGCAAGACACGTGGGCAGATGGACACATTAGATAAAAAAAATGACGTAATTTGCGCCAGACCATTCAAAATGAATGGAAACGGGATACAATCAAAGTTCTGATAAGTATTATCGAAAAGCCCCAAAGTGCACCGTTTTTAAAAGTTAACCTTGATAACGAGGCACAAGCATCGCTTAGGTTGAAAAATAAATGCTCAAGGATCGGCCAGTTGTCGGCACGTAAAGTATTTTTTTTACTCCCATAAAGGACAATACTTCTGGACACAGAAAGGACGCCGTCCAGTGTAAAGGGGGCGAAGCCGCTTCAGTCGTTGACGCCCGAGTCAGGTCACAGCTGTCACTGAAGCACATCATGTACCTCGTCGTCTTCCAAACTACTGACAGTATGTTTTTTTTTTTTTTTTTTTTTTTTT